TGGAGCAGAAAGGAAAATCTGGGTCTGGGATGACTTGGCCTGCACAGCCCACTTTTGGTCCCACCTGGTTCTGTGAGAAAAATAAAGCTCTATATGATGAAGCTGCTAGGAGTCTGGTTTTTTGATTCTTGCAATTGAAAATAATTGAGCTTTCCAATTGGACACGGATGGTCCACAGAATCAGATCAAACGGCATTGCACAGTATTCTCCCCGCTGTGGCTGTTCCCATCTTTGGACATTTAGATATTTCAAATGAAAAAGGCTTTTCTTTTTCTTTCTGACATCTCATCACCCTTCTCACCGGGAGCTGTAACAGGATAAGTCGCTCTGCTTTGGATCCTTTGTTTCTTAAAAGGGGAAGGGCAGGCAGCAAGGCTTCGGTGGAAAATGCTGATATACTACACCACATCAGAATGTGCTGTTCTCATTTATTTTTTAATACAAACCCGTCTTTGCATGTGGGCACTGGCAAAGAGTTGATGGTTACGAAATATTGGGCGACAGTGGTAATATAGGAGGTAAGTGACACACTGCAAAGGAATCTTGTCTTCAAATTACACAGAACGCAAACCCATTGTGGTTCATGACATAGTTCCCACATTTTTTCCATATTTATCCAACAAGGCCCCAGTCAAATAGATTGTGTGTTCCGTTTGTTAAGTGAATATGTAAAAATAGTGGACGAGTTTTATAAAGCAGCATGAAAAAGTCATGGGAAGGTACAGCTGCTACTGCTGTCTGCTGATCGCTTCCTGTGGCACCATCGAGCTCTGGTGAGAACCAATAAAAATGGTGTGTACAGCATTCAGGGATGAAGTTCAGGAAGTGGTTGTCACAAATGACAGATGCGACAGTTACCATATTTAGCACCAAAGCAATTCATTTATCTTTACAGACATATAGGAGCAGAAAGGGTGAATTCAAAGGTAGTCTTCTGGGCAGTGAGGACATTCCCACTCTAGACACACACTGTCAAGAAACCCATATGCCTACAGTGTAAAGAGCTTTTTTAAGATTATAAGCTGTCTTCCAAGCAAAGCAGCCTTTACTAAAAATAGCTCTATTTGATCAGACAGCATAGGAAGAGTGCTACTGGTTGGTCTCTTAGGGGCAAAGATAGAATTAAAACTCAGTATAACCTCTGATAGCCATAAAAGGACCCCCCAGGATGGGCTGTCTGTCAAAGGAGAGATGTTTTAAAGGAACACATACACTACTGGGGCAGCCAACTGAAAATACAAAATACTCAAATATATCTAAAAGGAAGTCTCCTTGGCTTATAATGAGGGTGAAATCCCCGTGAAGGGGTCTGGCTGAAACTCCAAATTAAGAGACTGAAGCTGAAATCCCGATGACCTTGAAGAAGCAGCTGAAGACTTGAATGTATGTTCATTTTCAGTCACTAAATTTCTGTAACATCTGGAGCATGATTAAGGCCTAAAAATGTTGAAGAACTTCTAATGACACTAGTAGCCATTGGTTACGGTGAAGAATGGTCCTGCTGCCAGAAAAACAAATGACCAGGCACTTAAAGCCTCTATCAGGGTGGAAAAAGGCATTTTGCCAACTTTAGTCACCTCTTGGAAACTGTGTGGTCAGTTTTCTGAACTATATTTGAACTTCAGAAGTCCACAGTTGCTTCCCTGGGTGAAACAGGCTTCCTGGTATTTCAAGGAAACTTAAAAATCTTTGGAAAGTCTAAAAAGTTTGAAGATCCCAGTTTGGAAAAGGGGAAATACTATAAATATATATACAGAAAAACAGAAAAAAACTTTAACAGTAGTTACATGGGGTAGTAGAATTACTCCTTTTTAATACATCTCATATTTTCTGAATTTCCTAATAGAAACATATATTATTGTATAACCAGAGAAGTTTATAAACCATTAAAGGAGAAAAAAGACTCCTTGTAAAGCCTTCTACAGAGGTGAAAGATGAGTTTGTTCTACCTTAGCCACTAATTAGCTGTGTTACCTTAATATTGGAGGCAAAACTTGCAAGATTGAGATATATATGCAGCACCACAGTACTTGGCAGAGAAGGCAATGGCACCCCACTCCAGTACTCTTGCCTGGAAAATCCCATGGACGGAGGAGCCTGGTGGGCTGCAGTCCATGGGGCTGCTAAGAGTCGGACATGACTGAGCAACTTCACTTTTACTTTTCACTTTCATGCGTTGGAGAAGGAAATGGCAACCCACTCCAGTGTTCTTGCCTGGAGAATCCCATGGACGGAGGAGCCTGGTAGGCTGCAGTCCATGGGGTCGCTGGGAGTCGGACGTGACTGAGCGACTTCACTTTCACTTTTCACTTTCATGCATTGGAGAAGGAAATGGCAGCCCACTCCAATGTTCTTGCCTGGAGAATCCCGGGGACGGGGGAGCCTGGTGGGCTGCCGTCTATGGGGTTGCACAGAGTCGGACACGACTGAAGCGACGCAGCAGCAGCAGCACAGTTCTTGGAGGCATACGGTAGATCCTTTATAAGTGGCAATTTGCATCGTTTTTCCTGCTCAAACCATATTCAGTGTTCAAAACCATATTCAGATAGCACCAGGTATAAAATTCTACTTTGATGAGAAATTTACCTGAACTTCACAGTGAAAGAAAATTGTCCTGAAAACAGGGTGAAAGGATACAGTATTCCTCGTGTAGCTCCAAAGCCTGGAAATCCATGGCAAGGAGAGAGATCACTGGAGGCAGATGTGACTGGAGGGTGCCAGTTTTGGGGACCAGAATCTGGCTCCCTTTCACCTCTCACTGGCTTCCAGACGGATGAGAACCGCGAGGCGCTCATGACCATTTGTCAGGGATCCCCGAGCCTGGGGTCAGGTGCAGTGACGTGGGACACAGCACCTGCCGTGGCTGCAGCTGTTGGCCATCAGCCCTGGGAGGGCTATTTCAGGTTTCAGCAAGCGTTCCCTGCCCCACTAGCATAGCTTCCAGAAATGCTTTGAACTATTCAAGGACCAAAAGGCCATGACAGCCTCCATTCCTAGGAGGCCAGCCTTCTGCTAACCTAGCCACAGTGAGGTAGGGTTTCTCTCCCGGGTGGGGAGAGGCTGTCTACACCCCTAGGCCAGAGCTTTCGGGGAAGAGAAACTTAAACATCCCCTCCTCCAACTAAGCCTTCAGTGAAGATTTTCTGCTCAAATTTTCCCATCGTTTCAGCTAAGTATGTCTAGTGTGTACTCTTTCCTTGCAGTGCAGGTAGTGAGACAGTATCTCCAAAGCTAATAGTAATACTGATGGATTTCCCCTTAGGTTGTGCTAAGCAGCTTCCATATTACTGCATTTATTTCTCATGACAAACTTGTGAGGTCAGTACAGTTATTGTTACTCTGATCACTGGCCCCAAATTACTGTCCTCTCACAGTCACCTTGTAATGCATATATGCCTGGAAGCATCCTCGGTTTACTTTCTCTTCTAAAATTTCTCAAATGATTACCAGTTTAAAATGTGCACAGTGGGGACTTCCCTGGTGGTCCAGTGGTTAAGGATTCACCTTGCAATACAGGGGATGCAGGTTTGATCCCTGGTTGGGAAACTAACAGCCCACACGCTGGAGAGCAACTATACCCATGCCGCAACTAGAGAGTCTATGTGCTTCACTAGAGAGCCCACAGGATGCAACAAAGACCTAACACAGTCAAATAAATAAATATTTTCTAAAATAAAATATGCACAATTGGGTCTTTATGGATTTGAAAGAACAATCTTTGTTAGCTTCTTTTTTCTCAACAGCCCTGCCCCATTGAGCCTGAGTACTTTTCTCAATGACCCTGCATCCAGGGTTCAGATACGAGTTCTTTATATCATGTCCCTCAAGACTAAATCTCTAAGTTGTTGGCCTCAATTCTCTTCTAAAAGCTGTAACACCCTTTTTTTATGGCCCAGGGAACACATGTACTTCCATAATGACCAAAAGATAGGATGGGAGAGAGAACCAGCCAGAACCATATGCACTGAATTTTTTAGTGTAAGAAGAAGCCTGTAGCGCCATTATTCATTTATCATGCAGGCGTCCACAGGGCAGCAGCTGACAAGTGCAAAACGATGCTCTGCCTGTTCCCAGACTGTCGGGACACTCAATGCAGTCTGTCCACAGCGGCCCTTCCTCTATTCTTCCTGCTACCCCCACCCCCAAAGGCTGCTCTCGGCAAACATATGGGAGCCATTGGGGCTTACTCCTTCCCTTCCGATGTCCAAGTCACGTTGACAACCAGGGATTTACAACTGCCCAAAATGGAGTGCTTTGCTTTCTTTTGGGTTATTCCAAGTTTGGGGCCTGTTAAAAGTTTTGTAACTACATAAATATTTATCCATAGTTTGTGGTTACTATATAAACATAACAAACATGACACTGGACCCAAATGCTGTAAGTCACACCAAAGTCTTCCAATTATGAAACGGGAGAATGAATAAAGGACTTTGGAACTGATTATTTTTATCATGAAATATTCTTACTGCTATTTTTACATTGGGCTTTTAAAGTACCAAAATGTATTCATCTTTGACTCTATAAATGTAAATGTTCAGACCTCACTTATTGTCCGTCAGCCAACTTGCTGAAACATGCCCCTGGATCACAGAGACCTGTGGGAGAAAGCGCATGGTGCAATACAAGGTTTCACCTTTATTTTATTGTATTGTATTATCCAAAAGTTTCTAACAAACTTAGCAAGAAAGTTTTTTTAGAAACTTTTGGCCAACCCAATATTATATTTTGTGCTGTGAGGCTTGTGGGATGTTAGTTTGCTGACCAGAGTTTGAACCCATGCCCTCAGCAGTGAAAACTCAGAGTCCTAACCACTGGATCACCTGGGGATTCCCAAGCCCTCACTTTTTAAAACAAACTTGCTAATGATAGAAAGCCAAGGATGAAAAATGCTACTCTGAGCTTTGTCACCTGTGAAGGCAAGAGGCATGACTTTGTGTTCAAGTGTCACCAGTTTATATTTGTTAGTGGGTTCTGGCTGACACAACAGATACCAGGTAGAAAGAGCTGAAACATTTAATTTCCCAGACAGTAATTATTCAGGGAAGGCAATAAAGTACTCAGACCTAGGAAGGGACATCATTGCTCATGAAAAATGTGTGTGAGTGAGGATATTATTGTGAATTCTTTTCTTAACCCTTTGTTCGCCATGCAGTTAACCCTTTACATCCAAGGGGTGAAGCTTGTACTTAATGCTCTTCAGAGTTGTGGTCTTGGGAGGGGGTCTCTGGCAGGGCTCCCAACTCTTCTGTGGGAAGCAGTTGGTCTCTGGAGAGGGTAATCTGCAGGTTAGAGCCTGCTTCCTCCACTCTGGTTTGAATCCATCTCCTCCATCTTTCTTGGGCTCCCTGTCACCACATCCTGTAGACAGAGCAAGGCAGGAAGCTTTTTACTGCTTTGCAGATGATCAGACTGAAACCAGTTTTTCTGTATTTGATGGTGTATCATCAAAGGGAGCAAACCCTGCAGCTTTAGCTCGAGGTGAAATAGAGCAGGTTTGCTGGCTTCATAAATTCTGGCACAATTTTATGTATTGTCCCAAGAAGTAGATAAAAGAGCAAGCCCTGGAAATTTTGTAGAACACTGCTCTGGTAAAGCTCATAATGGCTCTGCTGGGTCTTCATTTCTTTAAGGGACTGAGCCAGTGGGCAATTGGTATTCTTGGAATGTGATTATCCCCCTTCTGTACATAAGTAAATGTTGACAGCAAATGGTTTAACGACTTGCTCCGAATTTCATAGCATGCCAAGAATATAGTTAGAGAAAAAAAATGGTTGGAATTTCTGATTTTCAAACCCTTGCTTTAGCCAGGAGACTCAGCTCTAAATAGACATGCTTTAAATGCACACTAGCAAAATCTGAGAGAAATAATGTTGTAGAATCTAGTATCCTTTAGAACCTTTGGCAGGAAGTTATTAAAGCTCACTAACATTCTAAGTCCCTTACCTCTGCATGGACCTCCTAGGGGGTGATGAATCACCTTTTCCCATCTGTGGGCCTGCCAGGCACAGAGGTTAAGCAACCTAGCTAATGACAGATATTTAGAGGTAGAACCATCCCGGACTCATCTTTTGACTCTAGATTAGAACTTTCCCAGTGATGCCAGAAACTGACCAGGTGAGTTCAAAGAGACTATTGCACATCTGTGATAATTCTGTACTGTATTGTGTAACTTGGTTCAGCTGGAGGGGTTTTCCAGAATCCCCTTCTCTGTATGATTCTGGGTTAGAGTTGACCCGAAGAGAAATGGGGGAAAGATTTGGAAGGTGGAAGTTGAGCGATAGCCACTACTTTGTGAGGGTCATTGTGGTTATGTGGTGACACACAGATGCAAAAGTGCTGTTGGGTTCCAGTGTATCCTTGGTCTTTTCCATTCCACATCCAGCAAATCTCTCTTTCTTCCTTTCTTTCCTTCTTTTTTTCACCATTTTATTGAGGTATGATTAACATACAAAAATCTGTACATATTTAGTGTCTACAACTTGATGAATGTAGGAGTAAGTATATAACTGTGAAACCATCCCAATAATTGATGTCATAAACACATCCATCCCCTCCAAAAGTTTCCTCCCACCCTCTTTATTAGTAGTAGTAGTGTTGTTGTTGTTTTGTGTGATATTTGTACCTTTTGACTGATGTCTGCCACCAGCCTCTGGCAACCACCATTGGGCTCGCTCTAGTAATTCTTCTGATGGTTGGTCCAGTGGTTCCAGGCCCACCATCAGATTCAAAGGCAATCGTTTTCCATGGACTTCTCTACCAACTTTGCTTTCACAGCCCCACTCCAGCAACTGGATGTGCCTGGCTATTCTTGGCAGATTTTGACTGTTCCATTCACACCAGGGCTTCAAGAGAACTGGTTAGTCACCAGTCCTCCAGCTCCCAACTAGGCACCTCTACTTGCCCAGGTTCTCCCACAATTGCCTAATACATCCTGTGATACTCAGAGTGGTTCTGCTTTCCCCACCGAGCTCTGGCTGATGGAAAGTCAACATGGAGCACCAGGGGAGCTGCAGAGGAATATGAGGGAGTTCCTGCCTTCAAGGGACTTCCAGCTCAATGGGAAGGTAAGACATTTTCACATAGCCAGCTAGCTGGGGACTCATGGCAGCTCACGAATTAAGTGACAAGTTCATGCTGTTGCTTGAAGTCCTTGAAGCCAGAGGTGTCCAGTGTCTTTTAGCGCTAGGCAGGAGGAGCTGATTGGGAATGGCCACAGTCAGCACTCTTAATGATTGGTGGCCACATTTAGTCCAAGTGAATACACCTTTTTCTCTGTTCCATTCAGGCTCTAGGCTCCTGATCAACATAAGAATGAAAAGAAAGTTACTTACATACTGGGTTAAAGTGTTGAGTACAGTTGAACATGAATGCTGACATTGAAGATTTCCCATCCAACCAACAGAAATTCCCCTGGCCTGCCACAGTTGGGTAACTTGAGTTCTGGAATTCCAGCCTCGGTTAACCCCAATCCACAAATTTGCTGGAGTTACGAAACTTAGTGAGAGTACGGTTTTTCTATTATTCACTCCCAATATGTTCTGTCCGAACCAACACCACTAAATTTATTTCCCCCACATGTTTAACCCTCTGCATGTTGATCCCCTTTTGGTATCAACCAAAGGAAAAAGAGATCAAAGCAGGTGTTCCTGGTTTTTACACAAAATGAATTTTATTTCTAACTTGGCTGGAAATTTCCCCATCCACTCAGTCTATTGTCTTTGTTGTTGTTGTTGTTGGACCTCAGTTTCCTTCTGTTAGAAACAATTACTGATGGCTCCACGGGGAGGGATGAGCATCAGTGCTGGGCTAGAAACCCTGGTAAGATCCCTGGATGAAAGGTGATAGGGAACACAGGAGCAATCTGGATGAACAACCCCTGGAAAAGTCAGTCCTCAGCCCAAAGCAATACCACAAGCTTCCAGAAACTGCTTGTGAGTTGAGGTTTTACTTTGCAAATGTGTATCTACATGCCCGTGTGTCAGCAGTGTCGACTCCAGAGACCTAGGAATACAGTAAATGACATCGTAGGTAGCTCCGGAAAATGAGGATTTATTTTTAGTTCTGACCCTTGTCTGTTAAACGATCTGATATAAAAACGAGGAGGAAAAAGAGAGAAGAGACTGAAATCTAGGAGGCAACGAAAGGATGTGGAATTTCTGCTGGATCTTAAAAAGTATCAGTGTGAAACTCAAGTACAGTTTTCCCATTTCTTTTCAATCAGAAAGGTGTTGACAGGAAAAATGGATGAAGAGTGGAGGATGTGACTTCTTAGGAGACTCTGGTCCCTTCCCTGCAGTCATTTATTTTGAGACCCTGGCTCTAGGTGCCTATGGTGGAGGTGGTGGTCTTTTTCAGATATGGAGCCTTTAGCTTGTCACTCATTTAATCCCTGGATATGATAAGATTATACTTCCAAGCAATCTGTCCTGTTTGTCTTGATGTTTTATGGGCTGTCATCCAAAGGGTTCCTGCCTAGCCTCTGTTTCTATGCTCTGCTGAAATGGAGCAAAAAGAGAAAAGAGGCCAAGGAGTAGGATTGGACAGAAAGCTGAGTCTGCTCAGTAAAGAGAGGGAAATCGTAGAGATGCAGAAGGATGGAGAAGGTGGACTCTCAGAGAAGGACAGGGCTTGAGCTAACAGACTTGAGTAGGAAAGCAGGAATCTGAACAGCAGCACAAGAACAGACAAGAAGCCAAGATCAAGAGACATAACTCTTCATTTCTATTGTAAAATGTGGTCAAACATTTTGTCATGGTGCATGGACAGTCTTATACTTTAGGGATATCTGAATTCTAGTCCCGGCTTTGCCACTAAATCACTGTGTGACCTTGAAGAAGACACTTGAGTTCAGTTTTTTTCTCTACAAGCCACGGAGTTTGAATTAGAATGGGGTCTCCAGGGAATTCTCTGGCAGTTCAATGTTTAGGACTCAGCGCTTCTACTGCTGGGGCATGAGTTTGATCTCTGGTTGAGGAACTAAGATCCTGCATGCTGCAAGGTGCAGCTAAAGAAGAAGATGGGGTCCCCAAAGTAGAGACCCCCAGAAGAGTCAAGACACAGTTAAGACTTGTGTGATGACCTAAGATGGTTGCTTCCAGCAAGCCAAGCCCTTCCTCTGTCCTTCCAACACCCAGAGCTGTCGGCTGCAAATCCTGGAGGGGAGGGGTGCTCTCTCCGAGGTAGTCTGCCTTCTCAGTCTCTATGTAAAACGTGTTCCCACCCCACACCCCAACTCCCTGTGATCTCAGGACCTCAGAAATCCAAAAGTAACTTCTCTCTCTGAAGGGATGCAAATCCTAGAACAGGTTTCAATGATTCTTACTCTCTCTCAACTCTGAAGCTCTTAGATTTGGAGATTCTATTACAGAATAAGGTTGCAGACCACTTACATGGCAGTTAACTACAGACCCTTATCACAGTCTGGAGGCAAGCTGTCCCACCTGTTGGGACACTGAGCTTCATCGAGGCCTAGGTCCTGGGCCCTTTCTATCTGCTATCTTCCCCCGGAGTTGTCCTTGTCTGCACATAGGATTCAGGGTCACCATCACATTTGTGCTCCGCTGGTGGGAGAGGGGAAGAGTGAAAGAAAACTCCTGGATAAGCAGTTTCTTTTTAAACAAGTGATGGGGGAATTACACACATCACTGGTGCTCACAGTCCACTGTGAGAGCATGGCCACGGAGCCATATTGCACCATGGGGAGCTGAGAAATGAAACCCTTGGCTGGGTGGGGGGGATGTGGATTGAAATTCCATTACCAGAGGAGAAGAGAAGCACAGATTTGGGAAGACAAGGTCAGTCTGATGCAATAAGGAACCAGCAGACCACACTAGCCGGTGAGGGGGGCAGTTACAGACGCTTGACCAGCCATCAGAAATGTCACGGGAAGGGAAAAGAAAAAAAAGATGTTATCCTTGGGAACTGTGTGCCCATTTGAAGGAAAAGACAACATCAGCAAATACTAGCCTGCCTTTCCTCTTTGGCTACAACCCACTATTTAAGCTTTGCTTCAAGGTTAGCTGCTGCAGTGGTTTCCAAACTCCTAGAAAAGAAGTTGCATTTATAAATGCACTCTTACATGAGATTCTAATTATAAATAAGAAAACAAAAAGACTGCTCTGGCTGAAACAGAGAAGAGGGCTCAGAATTCTGGCCACCTGCTCTGGCTGTCTTCGCACATTAGAGGCCAACACCCATGGAGTTCGATGTCCACTTGGAGGTTTTCCTCCAGAACAGTGAGGCTCCAAGAAACCTAATCTGAGGCCCCCTGATCTGTGAGAAGCAGGTCAAAGCTACTATCAAGGATAATGTGATAATGTCATCAAAGCCAAACTAAGACCACTCTGAACCTTGTAACAATGAAGTCATGCTCCAGATCCTAAAAGTGAGAAATCTGAACTTCACTCATCTCCTAAGTAAGGTCATTCCATAAACCCTATTCTGTGACAAAATGACTCATTTCATTTATTATTACAGGGCCTTGTGCATTTTTAAATTTTTATAATATTCAGATGGCTATATTCATGATTGATTTAGTCAACCGATGCAAACCCCAACTATAACCTGGTTACTGTGGGGAAATTTCATCCGCTAGATAGAGTGTTTTCATGGACTACACTGCTACAAAAACCCTCACAGGACAAGGCCCACCCTAACTGAGAGGCAGGAGCAGATTCAGACAAAGGACATGAGCTCCCTGGTCAGAGCATCATAAGTACCAGTACCCAGTGGCCAGCGATTCTCTTACCTCTTATGGTGAATATCAAGGAAGAGATGGATGTGTGAAAGAGAAGATCTGGAATTTCAACTCAGGATTACGTAATGAAAGTGTGAATGTGTTAGTCGCTTAGTCGTGTCTGATTCTTTGTGACCCCCTGGACTGTAGCCCACCAAGCTCCTCTGTCCACGGAATTCTCCAGGCAATACTGGAGAGGGTTGCCATTTCCTTCTCCAGGGGATCTTCCCAACCCAGGGAACAAACCCGGGGTCTCCTGCATTGCCAGCAGATTCTTTACCATCTGAGCCACCAGGACTACATTATGGATGACCTCAAAAGATTCCAGAATGTTCAGGAGCCCCGGATCCCAATGCCAGATCGGCAGAAATGCAAGCCATCCGGTTGGGGTAGAAGAGAAACACAGCAGGGAAGGGGGAGATGGACTGACATTCCTCCAGTGGGGAATGACACCCTATCCCAAATGTCTGCAAGGCTATTGCACATTGAAGAAAGCAGGGAAGAGGTCCTGAACCTAGCTAAGAGATCAGAGTATTCCTGATGCAGGTTTATTCCTGACAAGGGTAAACAGGAGGTCTCAGTAGTAAACCAAAAATAAGGGACCAGTTTTCTTCTTACACCTCCTTCATACCAGATAAAGTTTCTTGACTCTTAATCCAGTCTTAAAGAAATAATCTTCCCATTTAAGCCCTGCATTAAATGAACAAAACATCATAGAGTGTGTTGCAAATTGTTCAATAAGCACCTTGTAAAAAGCCCAACGGAAATATGGGCAAAAGACATGAACAGGCAGTTCACTGAGACTGTGAAAATGTAATAAAAAAAGGAGTCCAAGCTAATTATTCCTCAGGGAATTGCAAGTGCAGACCACACTGAGATACATTTTTATACACACCAGATTAGCAAGAATTAAGAATTGTAACAACACCAAGCGTGGGAGAGAAGAGGTAAAGCTACAGGAATTCTTTCACATTCCTAGGGGAGTGTAAACTGCTGTAATCACTTTGGAAAACCATTTGGCATTTCCTTGTAAAGTTGAACATTTTAAACTAGGACTTAGTAGTTTCACTCCTGAGTACATGTTCTAGATCAGGTTTTTTCCAAAGTTGCGGGTCATGAACCTATTTTAGTGGTGTACTACTGAAATTTTTAATAAACAAAATAGAATACAGGGACTTCCCTGGTGGTCCAGTGGCTAAGACTCTGCACTCCCAATGCAGGGGACCTGGGTTCCACCCCTGGTCAGTGAACTAGATCCCACATGCTGCAACTAAGAGTTCACATGCTGCAACAAAAATCTAAGATCCCGAATACAGCAGCTAAGACCCAGAACAGCCAAATAAATAAATATTTTTTAAAGAATACAATCGAGTAGAAAAACTTAGAGGACATTGTAGTAAGGAGAAGTTTTGTTTCATGAATTGTTTCATGTATGTGTGTATGCCCATGTGTGTGCGAGTTGTGGTATAATTTTCACGGTTGCTAAATGAGTCAGACAAGACCCCTGTGGAGAAGCAGAATGTTTATTCCTGGGATCAGCCTTTGAATGTTAAAGCAGAAAATGTTTCCAGAATAAATTCACCCAAGTTAGTATGAGGCCATGTTCCCTGATTTTCTTGACTAAAATAAACTATTTTCTTCAAACTGTATTTTTGCACAAATCCCTTTTTACCAGGGGACAGCCTGTGCCATCTGGACCAGGCTCTTCAGTGGACACAATTCATTAACTGCCCTCACTCTCAAAATGCAATTGAAATGGATGCATCCTTTAAACTGAATACAAACAGTGGCTCCTCCACACTCATTTGACTCAATAATTCATGAAGTACTCATGATTACTTACTGAGAATAAAGTAAAATTAGCCACATAGCAGCCCGGGAAATGTATCTGCCCTAAGGTATTAAGTGTCTGTGCGTGTGTGTACTCAGTCGTGTCCGACTCTCTGCGACCCCGTGGACAGTAGCCCACCAGGTTCCTCTGTCCATGGGATTCTCCAGGCAAGAATACTGGAGTGGGTTGCCATTTCCTCTTCCAGGGGATCTTCCTGACCCAGGGATTGAAGCTGTGTCTCTTGCGTCTCCTGCTTTAGCAGGTGGATTCTTTGCCACTAGTGCCACCTAGAAAACCCATTAAGTGTCTCTATACAATGGCAAACTTTACCGTCCTAAAAACCATTCTTAGTTCCAAGGACTTACTGGAACAAAAGCATCAATTCTGAACTGTTGGGCTTGCAAAGGTGGAACAAATTTTCATATTTTTGTGCTGTAGGTTGAATTGTTTCCCCACAGAATGTATGTGCTAAGCCCTACTGCCTAACAAATGTGAACTTATTTGGAAACAGAGTCACTGTAGACATAATTTGTTAAGACAAAGTCATACTGGAGTTGGTAGGACCTTTGTTCAATATGACTGGTGTCCTTTTATAAAGGGAAATTTTGGACGCTGGCATGTACACAGGTAGAATACCATGTGAACATGAAGGCATGGATTGGAGTGATGCAGAAATACTAAAAATTCCAGAAAACCATCAGAAGCTAAGCAAGAGGCATGGAATAGATCCCCCCTTACAGACCTCAAAAGGACTCAACCCTGCTGACATCTTGATTTTGGATCTCAAGTCTCCAGAACTATAATGATTTCTGTCATTCTAAACCACCAAGTAGTGATGCTGTTACAGTAGTCCTAGAAAACTAATATACTTTAGATCTTTAAGATTTAGGCAAATGCTTTATATCCTATTTAAATACCTAATTATGACTCTAGTTTTACACTTCCTTTGTGGCTCAGTTGGTAAAGAGACTGCCTGCAATGCAGGAGATCCAGTTTTGATCCATGGGTTGGGAAGATTCCCCTAGAGGAGGAAATGGCAACCCACTCCAGTATTCTTGCCCGAGAAATCCCATGGACGAGGAGCCTGGTGGGCTGTAGTCCACGGGGTCACAAGTGGGACACGACTGAATGACTAAACCACTGAGGGCTTACATTCAACATGTGATATCAGGAAACTTGGAATTAAGATTCCATTTTGCATATTAATTGGCTGTTTAACCTCAAATATACCACATACCCTCTTTGGGCTTGCATTTTCATTTGTGACATAGTCATGACAACAACATTTACCTCTCACAGTGGCAAATGGGCCCAAAGAGATAATACATGGGAAAGTGAAAGTGAAAGTTGCTCAGTCATGTCCGACTCTTTGTGACCCCATGGACTATACATACAGTCCATGGAATTCTGCAGCCCAGAATACTGGAGTAGGTAGCCTTTCCCTTCTCCAGGGGATCTTCCCAACCCTGGGATTGAACCCAGGTCTCCTGCATTGCAGGTGAATTCTTTACTAGCTGAACCACAAAGGAAGCTCATACACGGGAAGCTCAGTTCAGTCGCTCAGTCGTGTCCGACTCTTTGCAACCCCATGAATCGTGGTACGCCAGGCCTCCCTGTCCATTACCAACTCCCGGAGTCTACCCAAACCCATGTCCATCAAGTCGGTGATGCCATCCAGCCATCTCATCCTCTGTTGTCCCCTTCTCCTGCCCCTAATCCTTCCCAGCATTAGGGTCTTTCCAATGAGTTAACTCTTCACATGAGGTGGCCAAAGTATTGGAGTTTCAGCTTCAGCATCAGTCCTTCCAATGAACACTCAGGACTGATCTCCTTTAGGATGGACTGGTTGGATCTCCTTGCAGTCCAAGGGACTCTCAAGAGTCTTCTCCAACACCACAGTTCAAAAGCATCAATTCTTCAACACTCAGCTTTCTTCACAGTCCAACTCTCACATCCATACATGACCACTGGAAAAACCGTAACCTTGACTAGACGGACCTTTGTTGGCAACATAATGTCTCTGCTTTTAAATAAGCTATCCAGGTTGGTCATAACTTTCCTTCCAAGGAGTAAGCGTCTTTTAATTTCATGGCTGCAATCACCATCTGCAGTGATTTTGCACTTTCCCATGTATCTGGTAAATTGTAAAGTATTAGATAACCATGCAAGACATTGTATTTCCCATCTATTAAAATGACAATAGTGATTATTGACTAACCTTGTAATGTAGATTGCATGTTAGTTTGTCCAGGGCTGGATCCCTACATAACAGCAGCACAACCTGTTGAAAAGACAAAGTTGAGCTGATTACTCACTGTTGAAAGGGAGGACACCACCTCAACAGAGTTTCAGTAGGGATTAGAGGGGAAAAGGTAAGGTTGAAATTTATTGAGAACTTGAAATTTGGTCTAAGGCTGGTCTTTCAGTATAGAGGCTTGAGTATGATTAGGAAAGACTGGCATATAATGGTGGACACAGCAAGGCAAGGATTTTGACACTGGATGTCAAAGAGTCTTTGAGCATGAAGAGTTAATGCTTTCTTCTGAAAGAGCTGGAAGTTCCTCTATTGAACAATAAGGTTATTTGCCTGTGAAAGTGTTTCCTAGAATAGTAAATTATGTAAATAATAAATTATTCAATTATGAGAAACACAATTGAATAATAAAGTCATACTAAGGCAGACGGGTAGGTGGTTTTGGGTCTTGTGTCCAGAATGGATGGGAATGGGGAGTGATGGTCTCAGTTCTCAAGCATAAAATGTGAGTAAATTGCTGGACTCAGTGGCTGATGTCCTCCCATTCCCTCTCTTTTGGGCAGGCTCACGCTGCTCTTCTCCATCTGTGTTCTTTCTCCCAAGGTCAGTTCCTCATTCAAACTGGCTCTCTGCCAGCACTGTCCCTCACTGTCATCCAAAAGCTAATTTCTTCCTACCCTAAAACTCACTGCTAATTTTCATTTTGGTTAATCTGTGTAATATTACAGATTTCTCATTGTTCTAAGTTCCCCTGCACAGGGTTGCCTAATTTTAAGAAAAATTCAACCCACAGGAACAAGGCAGTGGAGACAATTCCACAGGAAAAATTGTCTTCTGAAGAGGTGATTAGATACTCTCCTTCCACCACCTCCGTGCCTATTTCCACCATAGTCTCAAACAGAGGGCAGATGGTCACTTGGCCCACTAGCTTTTGCGGTTTCTGCTGAAATGATCAGATAAAGTCTCTATCAGCACCAGCTGCTTTCAGTGTGCTGACAATTTCTTTGCATTCAAAATAGGCATAAAACCAGCAGTTTAGAACTCAGATTGTTGTTGCTGCTGTTGTTGTTTGGTTGCTAAGAGATGTCCAACTCTTTTGTGACCCTGTGGACTGTAGACTGTCAGGCTCCTCTGTCCATGGGATTCTCCAGGCAAGAATATTGGAGTGAAAAAAAAAAAGAATACTGGAGTGGGTTGCCATTTCCTTCACCATGGGATCTTCCTGACCCAGGGATCAAACCCACATCTCCTGCATTGGCAGGTGGATTCTTTATTGCTGAGCCACAATTTGGAACTGGCTTCCTGGTCCTGGGTGGACCAGGTTGAATTAATCTAGATCCATTTTCCTACACCCTGCCTGTTCCCAGCCTTCCTCACCCCCAAAAGGCTAATTTCTTGCTTTCAAAAGCTACTTGGAAGAACTGGTAATTCTCTTCTGGTACAATCACAAGGGAATGAATGGTTCATTGTTAAAGAAGTCACTCCCCTTGAATAAGGCGATCTTTCCTTCAAACAAGGTTAGGGGTGTTGGACCAAACATTATAATTAAGCCAAGTACTTGTCTGCACTTCTTGTTATGCAGCCCAATGTATATAGATGTTTCAAACAATTGAATTTGGGGTTCCATCATGTTATATGCCATTAAGACAAAACAATTTAGAGACAGGCATGTGGTAAAGCACAATAGCTATCTTATTTTTAAAAGGTTCAGAGATATCTGAGATTTTTGAAAACTTAGACATTTTATAGGGTGTAGGAAAAGCAACTAGCAATTTCCTGAATTGCAAAGAGTATTTTATAGAGTTAAGTTACAAGACAATTATATTTTCACTAGATGCCCAAATTCTACTTATCCGCTTAGAATTTCTGTTGATTTGTGAGTGAGAAATAAAGATATAATTTACTGGCTAAGCCAGTCCTATAATGAATGGAGCAAAACAGGATACGCTTGAGAAGTAATAAGCACTGTCTTTGATTTCTAACACTCTGGTCAGGAAATTTGAACTGGTTGTGTGAGTTAGGTCTTTTGAAAAAAAAAAAGTCACTAAGGTTTCCTGAACTTCTTGAAGAGAGATGTTGGTTGGTTGGTTTGTATGTGGTAAAATATACATAAAACTTACCATCAAAACCATTTTTAAGTGATAGTTCAGTGGCATTAAATAATGCATTCAATCATATTGTTGTATAACTATCACCCCCAGCCATCTACTGAACTTTTTCATCTTGCAAAATTGAAATTCCCTACGCATTAACAATAACCCCTCATTCCCTCCTTCCTCTAGCTCCAGTAATCTCTATTCTACTTTCTACGCTCGTGAATTTGACTATTCTAGATACCTCTTATAAGTGGAATCATACAATATTTGTCCTTCTGTGATTAGCTTATTTTACTTGGCACAATGCTTTCCAGTTTCACTGATACGATATGTGTCAGAATATATACGCATGTGTTAGAATTCCCTTCCTTTTAAAGGCTGAATAATATTTCACTGCATCTAGATGCTGTATTTTGCTTATCCATCTATCTGTCAATAGACACTTGGGTTGCTTCCACCTGAGTTGTTATTTTGCATATCTTGTCATTTTCTGACAACTCTCATCTTTGGAGCACTGGAGAAAGTCAGACACAGTTGGAGAAGGGGCAGGTGATGGGCTTACCTGCCTCCTGAGAAACCTGTATGCAGTTAGAACCGAACATGGAATAACAGACTGGAGGTGAGGCAGGTGAGGGGAAAGATGAGGCAGAGTGGGCAGCCAAGGGCCTGTGCAGAGGGAGGCAGAGGGCCAGGTGGCTTCCCCAGAGGCCAGGCAGACAGCAGCATCATCTGCCAGAAAAGTTCTACCAGCAGTGGTTCTTCTTGGTTTCAGGTGTCCTTTGACCCCTGTGTTTAGAACCCCTGGTCAGGTACAGCCACTGGTGTAATCAGGTAGGTGATTCTAGAATGACACTAACATTTCTAAATCAATATTCACTAAGGCTTAACAGGAAGACCCTTACCAGAATTAAGCAAGCCAGGAAGATCATTTTGATCAGATGAGCAGTTTAGGAAGTCTGTGTGTGCTGGCACATGCTCACTTGTGTCCAACTCTTCATAACCCCATGGACTGTAGCCCACCAGGCTACTCTGTCCATGGAATTTTCCAGGCAAGAATATTGGAGTGGGATGCCATCTCCTGCTTCAGGGGATCTTCCTGACCGAGGGATCCAACCTACGTCTCCTGCATTGGCAGGCAGATTCTATACTGCTGGCACCACCTCATGGAAAAGGGAGCTCTAAATCCCCTACTAACTCCAAACAACACCGGGTTTTAAACCCGGTTTTTACAAACTTATGGTTGTCTGGGGTGGAGGAGGGGAGGGAGCGATAATTAGGAAGTTTGGAAAGGTTATATACACACTGCTATATTCAAAATGGGTAACCAACAAAGACCTACTGTATAGCACATGGAACTCTGCTGAATGTTATGTGCCAGCCTAGATGGGAGGGGGTGCTGCGGGGAGAACGGATACATGTATGTATGTATGGCTGAGTCCCTTCACTGTTCACCTGTAACTATCACAACATTGTTATACTGTAATACAAAATAAAAAGTTTAAAGTTTAAGGAAAAATAACCCGAGTTTTAAGTTTGATTGAAATGGGATCACATGACAAGTTCTTCCTGAATTAAAAATAAAAGGAAGTATCCAGTCTTGGGCAAACCAGGCTGTAAGATTAAGTAGAATATTGATAATTTCAGTACTTTAACGCATTCAACATTAATATTTAAAAATTTAAACACAAAAACTGAGTCATCATTTGGTTTTCCATACTAATGCTGAAGAGAGGTTAAGGCATATATTAACAATTGTACAAGCGAGGAAACGAAATTTCAGAAAAGCTATGTGACATACCGAAGAAGTCACAGCATTGGAATTGGAAACCAGGGTTTCTGAATTTAAATTTTAAGTTGTTTCTTTAAGTCAGAGGTGTTTAATCTCTAGAAACGAGACAGAGGTAGGCTGAGTTGCACTGTGGACTGGATACAATTTTAATAACTTACAGCATGCCAGTTCTGGCTTTGCTACTAACAAGTTATTTCATGTGAGAGAAAAAACATTATCACAACTTCTCCTCCTAAGAAACTAGGATTCAAGTAGATGACTTGTCCAGGGACTCATAAGTGTAGTTTGATCCCAATGATCTCATTTGATATGGTTTTTCCAGTAGTCATGTATGGATGTGAGAGCTGGACCATAAAGAAAGCTGAGCACCGAAGAATCGATGCTTTTGAACTGTGGAAGAAGACTCTTGAGAGTCTCTTGCACTTCAAGGAGATCAAACCAGTCCATCCTAAAGGAGATTAGTCCTGAAAATTCATGGAAAGGACTGATGCTGAAGCTGAAGCTCCAATACTTTGACCACCTGATGCACATTGGAAAAGACCCTGATGCTGGGAAAGATGGAAGGCAGGAGGAGAAGGGGACGACAGAGGATGAGATGGTTGGATGGCATCACCAACTCAGTGGACATGAGTTTGAGCAAGCTCTGGGAGTTGGTGATGGACAGGAAGGCTTGGAGTGCTGCAGTCCATGGGGTCGCAAAGAGTGACTGAATGACTGAACTGATCTCTATTGAAGAGTCCTCAACCTTCACCTCTATTTTAGAAGCAGAAGCACATTTTTATGTTTGTTTATGGATTTCTAAAGAAAAGTGTACTCAAAATTTAAAACTAATGAAGGCAAATCTTCTCTGACCGAACGGGGTGAGGAGTCCAGAAGTTCCCCCAGAGGGTGCTGTCCACAGGGTGACCTGAGGAATCCAGAAACTGCCCATCAGATTGGTCGGAACTTTCTAAATCTTTACAAGTCTTACTGAGACAAACCTGGACCTTCTCCCTCCTTCATCCCCGCCCCCCCCCCCCATAAAACTGTACTACTTACATTTCGATAGGTAAAACTGGTGATTTCTCCAATATTTCAAAACTGATTCCTCTCACAAAGTCACCCAACCTTAAATGGGGTTCTACCACTCTGTCTCTGTTGACTAATTGCTGTGGACCAGCCAAAAGTTATCTTTGGACACTCTTTAAAATACTATGTACTAAACATGGCTTCCCTATAGCTCAGATGGTAAAGAATCTGCCCGCAATGCGGGAGACCTGGGCTCGATCCCTGGGTTGGGAAGATCCCCTGCAGAAGGGAATAGCAATCCACTCCAGTATTCCTGCCTGGAAAATTCCCCGGACAGAGAAGCCTGGTGGGCTACAGTCCATGGGGTCACAAAGAGTCGGACACGACTAAGTGACTAATACTATACTACACTAAACATGGTTAATGATCCTTAGCCTAAATGGAGAGAAGGCAGAAAGGGCAGGACTCCCTTTCACTGAAAGGACTGATAGTAGCGCTGTGCAGTCCGTGATCTCAACATGTCTGTGAACATCCCCGCCTGACCCGCGATGCCGGAGAGAAGCCCCATCCTGTTTGGCTCACTCCGCACCTTCCGGTCCCCTGAGAGGGCTGGCTGCCGCGGGCGGAGTCTGAGTGTTACAGTTGAGAGCCGAGTGCAGAGGCACGTGCCGGAGAGGAAGCCCCGAGAGCCAGCCGTGAAGAAGGAAGCTTTGCTCCAGAGACTGTAACCAGGGCGATTGGGAGGCTGGCCTGGGTGTGGGGTGATTCAGACGATGGCAAGCAAACGAACACATAACACCTCTTTGTCTAACTCAGGGAGGCCAAATGAACTTCTCGAGAACGGTGAATTTTCCAGGTAACCGGAACTTATTCCTTTAAGAACCCCAACTGCAAATCTTAAAACATGTGTTGTTGCTTTTGAAACTTTCTAGATGTATTCCCTTTAAGGTACCGGGTTATAGCTCTGGGTCTTCATTCGTGAGGCTCCCTTAATGTTCCACGTTTAGGACCTCTGAGGTCCGTGGGGCTTCTCTTCTGTCCCTACATCACCTGCCCCCACCCCATACAGGTGCTGGCTGCCATGCTCCCACACCCGCAGCTGCCTCTTGAGGCCCTTTTCTTTAATTTGTATAGGGCCAGGGAGCCAGAAGCTGGAACTTCTCAGAACAGGTTCATAAATAAGGCTGAAAACACTTTCGGTGGTAGCCTGAACCCTGCAAATTAAGTACTTGCCTGAGCTTTGGTACACTGATTTTTAAATCAACATAAGTGTTTTCTTAAGTTATTCTTTTTTAAATTTATTTTTGAATACCTATTATTTATTTGGCTGTGTGGGGTCTTAGTTGTGGCATTAGGCACCTTCAATGCATGGCATGGACTCTAGTTTTGGCAGGCTTAGCTGCCCCCAAGGCATGTGGGATCTTAGTCCTCCAACCAGAAATCACATAACATGAAATTTAGTATCTTAATCATTTAGTGGCATTAGGTACATTCACATTGTTGTGCAGCTGTCACCACCATCCGTCTCCAGAACTCTTTCATCTTGCAAAACTGAGACGCTACACCCAGTAAACAGGCACTACCCTATTCCCTCTCCTCTCCGGGCCCTGGAATCCACCATTCTATTTTCTGTCTCTACGAATTTGACTGCTCTTAATACTTCACGTAAGTGGAATCGTAGAGTATGTGGTTTTTTGTGACTGGCTTATTTTACCTACCATAATATCCTCAAGGTTCGTGTATGTTGAAGCACAAGTCAGAATTCCCTTCCTTTTTAAGGCTGAATAATGTTCCATTGTGTATGTGTACTATATTTTGTTCATCCACTCATCTCTTGATAGGTACTTGGATTGCTTCCTCATTTTGGCTATTGTGAATAATGTTGCTATGAGCACAAGTGTACACATATCTCTTTGACTTCTTGCTTTCAGTTCTTTGGGGTATATTCCCAGAAGTGGAATTGCTGGATCATGTAGGAATTCTATTCTTAATGTTTGCAGGAGCTGCCATACTGTTTTCCATAATAGCTGCACCACTTTATATTCTCACCAACAGTGCACAAAAGTTCCAACCTCTCCACATCCTTGCCAACACTTGTTATCTTCTGTCAGATTCCTTTTTTTGCTTACTTATTGTTCTTAGTTGTCCTTATGTAGTGAAAAGCTACCAGCTTTCAAGACCTCTGGATTTGTGGGGTGTTTACCAAATGAAGCAATAACAAGTTAGGCAGGTATGTCTCACAGCAGTTGTGATCATAAAAGTCATACTTTAAATGTAGTATAGAGGAGCTAGCTATTTTAAAAAAGCTTACAATCAATTATTTTAAAAGGTTTTTTTACAAAATAACTTTTTATTATAAAATTATATTCATTGTAAAAAATCTATAAATTATAGAAAAGGAGATAAAAGAAAATAATGCCACTGTGTAGAGATAACTTCAGTTAGTATTTGTGTTCATATTCCCTTCTCTATACACTTGCCTTCTACACATATATATATGTGTGTATATATGTATACATTATGTATATGTATTTTGTATATATAAATATTATATATATATATATTCCCTGTCATTTTTCTTCACTATCTTTTCTCCCCCGGCCCCCCAAACACTCATATACTTGCACCTTAGACTGTTGATTACCCTCTGATCCTGCCATACATGTTCGTGGATTTGTGGCTTATCCACTCTTATTCTTTTAAACTGGCCTTATTCTATTCTTGCAGTTTGGTAGTCTGTAGCATTTTTCCATATCATCATATTCTTAAATCAGCTTCAGATACATGCTTTTTAATAGCTGTATAGTAAGAATCCTTAAAAAATAATCACCTCTTATTATCTTTTGGGGAAGTATTCATGTTTTGGACTTTCTCAGGTATACTTTAGGGTTTTTAAAAAAATAATCAAACCTGTTTTTACAGGCGCCCCACTGGGTAGACCCTTTCCTAAGACTGTTACTCCCATTATATAGATGGTGAAAGATAGACACCCCAAGAGGTATTTCTGGTCTGGTATTTTTTTCGAATGGTAAGAACACTGATCTGTTACATATGGGAAAGAGACTTGCAGAATGGGCCAATTCAGTGTGGCACTCAAAGATTCCTAAAAAATATGAAGGCGTCCTGAAGATTATTGTATAATTTCATGAGCAGCTTCTCCTTCAGAGTTAATTGACAATTAACAATAATTCTAACAATGCTTTGGTGTTGTCAGACCTTTGGGGTTCATGTGTGTGTGTGCCTTTTTAGAGAGCAATTAATAAGTTTTGGCATTGTGCTTGTGATACTTCTGAAATGCTTGGGAAGGATATTGTCATTGCTGTAGCTTTGTGTATTTTGGGTCTTACAAATGATTTACCACTTACTAAATTTGAAATCCAAATTGTGGATTTGGCTCTGGCTGCTGCCAGCTAACAAATGCTATAACACTGGGGAAAAGTTAAGAAGCTATCACAGACTGCTTAAATTTCTAACTTTTTCCAGGGTAATCATGTGGAAGAGAAATGCCTAGATTTATAGGTCAAACAATGATAATTTGTATTATTTAAAACAATAATTGTCATATTCCCATATGGAAAAAAATGCTTCATCATGTATTTTTAACTTGATACACTTCAGTAAACAACATTTTAAAATTTTTATCAATCTATAAGTTACAATTTAAGTAATAATTACTAGATTGCTTTAATGTGACTATAGAGCTAAATAGTAGACTATATTTTCCTAAGTATTACCATTCCTCTTTCTATTCTGTCCCTCAAGCTGTAAAGGAAGAAAAAAAAAACATGCAGAAACATCAGTTCAGTTCAGTTCAGTCACTCAGTCGTGTCCGACTCTTTGTGACCTCATTAACTGCAGCACGCCAGGCCTCCCTGTCTATCACCAACTCCTGGAGTCTACCCAAACTCATGTCCATTGAATCAGTGATGCCATCCAACCATCTTATCCTCTGTCATCCCCTTCTCCTGGCTTCAATCTTTCCCAGCATCAGGGTCTTTTCAAATGAGTCAGTTCTTCACATCAAGTGGTCAAAGTATTGGAGTTTCCGCTTCAACATCAGTCCTTCCAATTAACACCCAGGACTGATCTCCTTTAGGATGGACTGATTGGATCTCCCTGCAGTCCAAGAGACTCTCAAGAGTCTTCTCCAACACCACAGTTCAAAAGCATCAATTCTTCAACACTCAGCTTTCTTTATAGTCCAACTCTCACATTCATACATGACTACTGGAAAAACCATAGCCTTGACTAGATGGACCTTTGTTGACAAAATAATGTCTCTGCTTTTTAATATGCTGTCTAGGTTGGTCATAACTTTCCTTCCAAGGAGTAAGCGTCTTTTAATTTCATGGCTGCAATCACCATCTGCAGTGATTTTGGAGCCCCCAAAAATAAAGTCTGACACTGTTCCCACTGTTTCCCCATCTATTTTCCATGAAGTGATGGGACCAGATGCCTTGATCTTAGTTTTCTGAATGCTGAGCTTTAAGCCGACTTTTTCACTGTCTTTCACTTTCATCAAGAGGCTCTTTAGTTCTTCTTCGCTTTCTGCTGTAAGGGTGGTGTCATATGCACATCTGAGGTTATTGATATTTCTCCCAGCAATCTTCATTCCAGCTTGTGCTTCTTCCAGCCCAGCATTTCTCATGATGTACTCTGCGTATAAGTTAAATAAGCAGGGTGACAATATACAGCCTTGACGTACTCCTTTTCCTATTTGGAACCAGTCTGTTGTTCCATGTCTGGTTCTAACTGTTGCTTCCTGACCTGCATACAGGTTTCTCAAGAGGCAGGTCAGGTGGTCTGGTATGCCCATCTCTTGAAGACTTTTCCAGTTTGTTGTGATCCACACAGTCAAAGGCTTTGGCATAGTCAGTAAAGCAGAAATAGATGTTTTTCTGGAACTCTCTTGCTTTTCCGATGATCCAGTGGATGTTGGCAATTTGATCTCTGGTTCCTCTGCCTTTTCTAAAACCAGCTTGAACATCTGGAAATTCACAGTTCACATATTGCTGAAGCCTGGCTTGGAGAATTTTGAGCATTACTTTGCTAGCGTGTGAGATGAGTCCAGTTGTGCAGTAGTTTGATCATTCTTTGGCATTGCCTTTCTTAGGGATTGGAATGAAAACTGACCTTTTCCACTCCTGTGGCCACTACTGAGTTTTCCAAATTTGCTGGCATATTGAGTGTAGCACCTTCACAGCATCATCTTTCAGGATTTGAAATACCTCAACTGGAATTCCATCACCTCTACTAGCTTTGTTTCTAGTGATGCTTCCTAAGACCCACTTGACTTCACATTCTAGGATGTCTGGCTCTAGGTAAGTGATCATACCATCGTGATTATCTGGGTTGTGAAGATCTTTTTGTACAGTTCTTCTGTGTATTCTTGCCACCTCTTCTTAATATTTTCTTTTTCTGTTAGGTCCCTACCATTTCTGTCCTTTATTGAGCCCATCTTTCAATGAAATGTTCCTTTGGTATCTCTAATTTTCTGGAAAAGATCTCTAGTCTTTCCCATTCTATTGTTTTCCTCTATTTCTTTGCATTGATCACTGAGGAAGGTTTTCTTGTCTCTTCTTGCTATTCTTTGGAACAGAAAAATCAAGGCACACATTTATGAGAAAATATGAGAATGTACTATTGCTGCTGCATTGTAGATTTAGATTAAAATTGTGCAATTTTTCTTGATCACATCTGCTAGCAAAGTTAATTGTGAAGAATCTCACTATTTTCCTCCTATCACTTTATAGTGAATAAGATGCTGCTCCTCAAGCATCAAAGTCAACAATAATCCAGTTCTGTAATTAGCACCACTTCATCCATCATGTTGTTTGAAATATGTTGAAATACAATGTTTTGCTGGATTTCAAATAATAAATATAAAATTTTAAAAACATTAGAACCAGAAAGATATTATTCTCTCTCAATTTAAAGACAAGGAAACAAAGAGGATAAACAACTTGCCTAAATGCAGATTTTTTTTTTTCCATTAATTCACCCAGTCCTTCATCCACTTATTCAAGCAACCACGGTTAGCAGGCAGGAGTCAATGTGAGGCCCTCTGAATGCAAAAAGAGTGTAAGACACCAAGACTGTTTTTAAGGATTTAAACTCCAGCAAGAAGAGGCAGGCAACTCCACAATTAATCACTACAGTGGACTGTGCTCAGGACCTTGTCGGCAACATGGGCTAAGTGCTACCAAAGCACAAAGATAAAGGTTAATTCTACCTGAGACAGTCAGGAAGGTTTCCCAGGAGACTTTTGAACTGGGCCTTAAGGAATGAACATTTCTTATGTTCACATAGAGAAGAACAAAAGGCAACCCAAGCAGAATGTACAACATGAACTGAGCCTCAAACTAAAGAGCATCTATGGCAGGACTAGGGAATGGCCATCAGCCTAAGGTGCAAGGGTGTGGGGAGAAAAGGCAGGGGAAAAAAATGGCAGAAAATTTAACCACAAGAATCTCATGTGGTTAAATTGGTAAAAACTTTGAATGTCATGCTGAGTGTGAATTTTATTCCAAGAAAATTGGGTTTATGAAAGGCTTATAAATTGGGTTGGGATATGATCAGAACTTGGTTTGCACTGGAGATGAGTTAGAAATTTACATCCTAGACAGGAGATGATAAGAGCCTAAATGTGGAAGAGTGGCAATGGTGGAACAAAGAAGATATATGAGTATCCAATAAGCAAATAAAAAGATACTCAGGTTACTAGTCATTAGGGAAATAGAAGTTAGAACCATAGTGAGATAACACTATATATACTAGAATGATTTAACTTAAAAAGGCAGACCATAATAAGTGTTGGCAAGGATTCTCATGTATGGAATTCTCAGTATATGGGATTCTCATATACTGCTGGTAGGAATGTAAAATGGTACAATTTTAGAAAACAGCTTGGCAGACTTCTATAAGGTTAAATATACACTAAATTACATGATTGGACTGCAAGGAGATCCAACCAGTCCATCCTAAAGGAGCTCAATCCTGGGTGTTCACTGGAAGGACTGATGCTGAAGCTGAAACTCCAATACTTTGGCCACCTCACGTGAAGAGTTGACTCATTGGAAAAGACCCTGATGCTGGGAGGGATTGGGGACAGGAGGAGAAGGGGACGACAGAGGATGAAATGGCTGGATGGCATCACCGACTTGATAGACATGAGTTTGAGTAAACTCCGGGAGTTGGTGATGGACAGGGAGGCCTGGCGTGCTGCGATTCATGGGGTCGCAAAGAGTCGGACACGACTGAATGACTGAACTGAACTGAACTGAACTGAATGAATTACATGATCCAGCCTTTCCAAATCTAATTCTTTACCACAGAAAAATAAAAACATATTCATTTCAGTATTCAAAATCCACAGAGTCCACAGAAACTTGTAGATGAATGTTCACATCAGCTGTAAATGTGTATCAGCACAATAACCTAAACACTGGAAACCCTAATGTGTATTAGTGAATAAACAGCCTAAAATGAATACTGAGAAATAAAAAGTAATGATCTATTGATACCTGTAACAGCATGGAGGAATCACAAATGCATTACATTAAGTAAAAGAAGTCAACACAAGAGTACATACTGCATAATTATATTTATGAGAGACTCTAGAGACAAATCTGACCTATAATGATACAAAGCAGACTAATGGTTGCCTGGGACAGAGGGAAGGATTGACTCAGAAGAGTCACAGGGGAATATTTTTGGAGTGATGGAGTTGTTCTGTACCTTAATTGTGGTGATGGTCATGGGGTATATAAATTTGGCAAAACTCAAGTAAATGTGGACGCATTTTATTATATATAAATTTTGCTACAATAAATTTCATTTAAAAATAATAAATTTAACTTGGTGAATAAAATTAAAAATATGGCAGTTGATCTGATTTTACAATTTTTCCATTGTGTATATGCATGTGGTCAGTCTTATCCTACTCCTTGTGACCCCATGGACTATAGACCGCCAGGCTACTCTGTCCATGGAATTTTCCAGGCAAGAATACTGGAGTGGGTTGTCATTTCCTACTCCATGGGATCTTCCTGATCCAGGGGTTGAATCTGTTTCCTCTTGTGTTTCCTGCATTGGCAGGTGGATTCTTTACCTCCAGCACCACCTAGGATTTTCCATGGGTTCTATTTAATTATAAATTGACATCTTAAAATAATCAAAAAGATGCAGACAGAAACAAATACAGAGAGGATTTCCCATTCCATTTCATTCAGTCAACCAGAAGGAGACAGTTATATAGTAAAATTCAGCAGCCAGTATAATACAGAGTCCCAGCTTCATGTATTAGCAAAAAGCAACTTAAGTAGATGGTAATGTCGTATTAGTAAACTCCACTAGATTGGAAATAATTTTATTTTATGGATTCATGCATCACCTTTCACCCATTTGAAAATTCATTTTTATATTTTTCTATATTTTGAATGTATCTCTTCTGTATGCACTTAAACTCCATAAAACAGTTGAGCTATCTTTAATAATGCTGATCCTAGACATTTCTTTATTCCTTTGTATTTTCATTTTTATTCTTATTTTCACAATTTTTATTATACATTTGGGGAAAAGAAATTGTGGAAAAGTAAAATATGAAGGAAGATAAAGTAAAGGAGAGAGACATTGCATAGAACTTGTTCCTTAACAACTCTGCCATCATTCAGACTTTTCTCTATTCTTTGCCATGTTACTCCTTAAAGGAATGATTGCCTGGGAAGGAGAAGAACTTGGAAAGGAAACCAGAAGGATTAAGACCTGCTTTATCTCTATTTTCAGAGGAAATTCCCTCCCTTCTTTTCAGGAATCTCTCTTTTCCTCCCTCCGGAGGTGTGGTTCTAGGAGGGCTCTCAAGTGAAGCATGGACCCAAGCTGGACCAATCAAAGTCCTTCATCCCTGGCCAGTATTTTGGTCAGGTATGCACACATGACCCAAGCAAGTCAATCAGAGCTTATCTCTGTTCCTCCCACGTACAATTTGTTGGGGTAGAACATGTCCCTCCTTGATAGCCAAGTAAGAGGTGAGCCAAGAGCTTGCTCTGGCAGCTGTATTACAGCTTTGTGAAGAAGCCAGTCTGAGAGAGAGAAGCTATTACTCAGAATTAGACACAAGAGAGAGAAAGAGTCTTGACTGTTTGGCACGTTGCTCATCACTGCCTTGCCTGAGATTTTATGACATGAGAAACAATTCCCTCAGTTCAAGTTGGTTTTTGTCTATTATAATCTTTTAAAAAGAGTGATGAACGTAGGAACGTAGGAACTCTTGTCTTCCGACTTGGACTACAATGCAATCAATCTTTCTAGGGCAGCAGAGAGCGGCTGGGGGCTCTAATGAAAGAAGCATTCAGGGGTCCTCCAACAAGGGCATGTGTGTATTGATATATTCAGGACTGCTTCCAGAACTCTGCACTCCAGATATTGCTAAAGGGCCTCCCCTCTCTCTGACTCCCTTCCTGACCCAGATTAACACTTCTAATCAGACCTAAGCGTCTTGAGCTCTAAGTTCCCTTCTTAGAGCCTTCTCAGATCTCTTACATACTCTAGCTTCACTAAAGTCATTTAACTGGACTGCTGCCCAGTAAGTCTGCAGGCCAAGATCCAAAATATTGCTATGAGACCTCCAGGAATCTCTGCTTCATTCCTTCTTCCCTCTTTGGAGAGAAATGGCCTTCTTGAATTCTTCTGAAGAATGACTTCAGTGTCTTTTTCAAGTTGGAGAGAAACATGGGTTTCATCCCAACTTCTGCCTGGCTCCTTAGTCATGATATACAGACAATGGTCCCTCACTGGGAACTCTGCCAAGGGTAACTGAGCAGGAGCTGATTTCTAAGAGTTTGGTGGATGAGGGGAGGAGGTTCTTCCTCATACTAAGCTTTGCCACCAACCTGATGGCCTAAGAGCAGTGCTTTCCCCCATAGAAACTTGAACTTGATTATGGGCAGATGCTTTCCTTTTAAGACCTTGTGGACCTACCGAGAGCAATTTGGAGCATTCAAATAAGATTTTGCTAAAGATCTGTGGATAACAAAAGAAAAATAAGCAGAGGGAAACAAGAATCTAGATTACCTGGTTTGTAGGTTATGGTTCTTGCTCATGACCTCAAGGGCTTCTGTCTTATTTGCTTATAATTTTGTATCCTGCCTTTTTTTTATCCTGTGCATTCTTTCCCATTTCGCAGGTTCTGCCTTTTTTTTGGAGGAAGAACTTCCAAGTATCAATATAATAATCAAACAACTAGTGAGGACTTTTTGATGTCTAAAGGTGCATAGTCTCTGAGAAGTCTTCAGAGCATCTCTTGACAAGACAACCTGGGCAAAAGTGAACATCCTTCAACTAGAGCAACCATTTCCCTCACAGTGCAGCAGCCACCACTCAAAGAATGTGGGAACTTCTTGAAGGAGAAAATTGGTATATCAGCTAACTTTGTTGTATAACAAGCTATCTCTTAACTTTAGCCACCTTGAAATAATAACCATGATTTCGTGGGTTGACTGGCCAGTTATTTTGGTCTGGTAGCTACTTTGAATTGGATTTCTATAAGCTGCCTCCAGAAACCTAACAAAAATACTCAAATAGAAGGTCAAAGGAGAAAAGCTCCTTTCCCTTGACAGATTTTTATAAAACATTTTTATTTTATATTATTTAACATTTTATAGTAATTTAACAATGTTATATTAGTTTTAGGTATACATCAAAGTGATTCAGTTTTACATATACATGTACTTATTCGTTTTCAAATTATTTTCCCATTTAGGTTATTACAGAGTACTGAGGAGAGTACCATGTGTTATACAGTAGGTCCTTTTTGGTCATCTATCTTTTAAAATAGTTCTTCGATACGCTGATGGTAACAGTGGACATAATTACATATGGTAGATGTAGCATCAGGGCCCCTTGTTACTATATTCCACTGAGTGTCCTCTCACTAGAAACCCCATCATCAGGAGAGGGTTAAATACCTTATAGTTTATGAACTGATGTCAAATGAGTAGGAGTTAACTGAGATATCAAATAGTTGCATATCAGTAACTTTTATGCACTTTTGCTCATCACTTAGATTGTTTTAATTCTTCCTTCCCTACTTGTCTCATCACAACCAGTTTTAGAACAGAGTTATTCTGGAAAGCATTCATTGAGTCAAACCTGACATAAACTATGAACTTAGCTCGTTACATCAACTTTCAAAATTAAACAGACTGTCCAGTGTTTAGGATACCAGAAGAACATGAAGAATCACAGACCAGCTTTCTTAGGAATTGTTTCTTAACTTAATTTGGGCATCATTCAGTAGGAAAGGCATGCCTAACCCGACTTAATATTAAACAGAGATCTGAAGATATAAATAACTCAAATAAAGCAAATCAAGATCACCATCTCATTAGTAACAAGAGAGAAAATAAAATGAAAAATAAGTAGGAAAAGACCAGACTGTGAACTTTTGAAGGGAAATATTTGCAACTGAGAGACACTGAATAAAATCAAGTACAATGAGATGTTTAATGAAGGCAACATTACAAAGAATACATAAAACAGGAGCTATTTAAAGAAAATTATTTATCAGATGCTTGACGATATAAAATGCCACCTGAGTTAGACAAGAAAGCCTGAACAGGAAGCTCAGATGGCAGGGTTCTATTCAAGGCCTTTTCCTAAAATATTGTAACCATACATATTGGTGATAAATTTGCAGGGAGTACTTAAGTCCTAAAAAAGTCTTTTACAAGAAGAAAAATGAAAAAATACATGATTCCTTTTCAAAGATTTTTGTTAAGTCTCATCTAGACTAAGATGTTTATGGTCAATTGCTTTGCAAACAATGATAGCTAAAGATAGCATGGGTCACCAAAGGGGTATGATATTTCCTATCTAGTCTCTCTGATACTAGTTAGAATATTAATGAAGAGTGTGTAGACACTTCTCTCAACACCTTTGAAAACACACTTGGACTTGGCTTCATTTCATTTCTTGCCCTGTTTTCAACCAAAAATGTTAGCCAATATACTCCAAGGATTCCTATATGAGTTTTTGCTTCACTGAATTGATTTAAGGAAACTAACCGTGGTCATGTATGGATGTGAGAGTTGGACTGTGAAGAAAGCTGAGCGCCGAAAAATTGATGCTTTCGAACTGTGGTGCTGGAGAAGACTCTTGAGAGTCCCTTGGACTGCAAGGAGATCCAACCAGTCCATCCTAAAGGAGATCAGTCCTGGGTGTTCATTGGAAGGACTGATGCTGAAGCTCAGTACTTTGGCCACCTCATGCGAAGAGCTGACTCATTGGAAAAGACCCTGATGCTGGGAGGGATTGGGGGCAGGAGGAGAAGGGGACGACAGAGGATGAGATGGCTGGATGGCATCACCAACTTGATGGGCATGAGTTTGAGTAAACTCCGGGAGTTGGTGATGGACAGGGAGGCCTGGGTGCTGCGATTCATGGGGTCACAAAGAGTCGGACACGACTGAGCAACTGAACTGAACTGAACTGAACCTCTATAAGCTCTGTTAAGCTCTGCTAGTTGTATGGCTGTGATATCTAAGGGAAGGAGTGGTGAAGGAGTGAATTATCACTGGTCCCTTCTCAGTAGCATTATTATGCTGAAAAAAAAATTAATTGAAGTTCCCTAATTTGGAGATGCAGTTAACTCATGTACTGAGACCCTGCATCATACAGGGTTCAAGCATAGGCCCTTGATATACAGATCTCTGACTAAGGGAGGGGTTTATTCATAGTTTGGGTAGTCCATGTCATGATTTACAAGGCGGGCTATTGCTGTAGCACAGTTGGGACTTAAGTGACTTGTGTTTTGTTTGCTTTAACTGTGTCCATTCAGTTTCCTAAATGGAGCTCGAGTCTTTTTTTTTTCTTTTCTTTAATCAGAGAAGTAAAGTGAAATAGAAGCCACCTGGTGCAGAGCTGGAGTGTGGGCTCGTGGAAATGGCCTTTCTGGCTTTTTCTTTCCTAGCTGGATGGCTTTGGGTTAATCTCTCATCCTTTCTGTACCTGACCTTCATGAACTAAAAGTATGGCAAGGAAGACAGTAATGGTGTGCAGGTTCAAGGAATATTGTAAGGATGGACTGAATGAGTGTATGTGAGTGCCTAGTAGATTAGCACACATCATTATAGGCTAAACAATCACTTACATTCATTTCTTACATTCCTGTGACTCAAAGGACACTTCTTCCCTCAAATGTAAAGCCAATCTTTGCTGGCTTTCATCTAAAGCCGGCAAATTAGTACAGAGAGGAGAGGGGAATCAAAGTAAATTTGGCCCTTAATTGCCTTAATTTTTGATTTGCAATTCAATTCATTTGCCACTAGAATGGGCTTCCTCCGTGGCTCAGCAGTAAAGAATCTGCCTGTCAATGCAGAAGATGTAGGCTTGATCCCTGGGTCGGAAGATCCCCTGGAGAAGGAAATGGCAACCCACTGTAATATTCTTGCCCAGGAAATCTCATAGACAGAGGAGCCTGCTGACTTACAGACCATGGGGTCATAAAGAGTCAGGCACGACTGAGTGACTAAACAATAATCTTAGAATAGTTAGCCACTGGCTACTTTGGTCAAAGCACTCAACTTCTTCATACACAAAATAAATACAGTGTCACCATTCTATTTCACCATAAGTTGGTAGCAATGATAAATGAATTGAGTACTAGAATGTTTCGAGGCCAAATGAAAGTATTACGATTAGTGACATTAATAATTATTTTCTGATAATTGCTGCTTATCTTTTGGCTTTAGCAAAACTTGATTAGAGATTGAATTTTGATGTTAAACCCAAGAAAATAATCTCTCAATCTGGAATTTGGCCAGGTTACCATGCTGAGCAACAGTTTCAAAGAAAAAGATAATTGGGATTTTTAATGAGCTTTGAAATTTATCTGAAAGGTGGGCTGAAAGCTACAAAAGACATGGTATTAGGCAGCTCATTCAGGATACAACCTAGTGATAATATCTTTCTTCTCTACTGTGATTAGCCAGAAAAATAATCTTTCATTAACTCTTCCCTGATCTCCTTTGAGGAAATACTCCAAGGTCAGTTGTTACCCAATCATAGTGTCCCTAGGATAATTGACTGGTATTTTCAAATTTGATTAAGTCAATGGGACAAGTAAATCAATTCAATGCAAGAGACAGGGCAACCACTCATTTTTCTTGCCAAGCTATCATTCAGATTTTATAAGAGATAATTCAGAATAGGGTTATGGCGATGCTTCTTTTCAATTCGATTACTAAAGCATCATGACTTGATTGTTATCTAGAAATGAAGCCCGCCTACTGTACTCTTTAAATGGGAACCATGGCTGAATTTTGTGGAAATAACACCTTGCATTGTATAGAATATGGCCTCTAAAAATTGTTACTCTAATATTGTTCAGGCTTTAGAAATCTGCCAAGTTTAAACGCTGTGGCAATAAGGAAAGAAAGAGGCTCTGGGAAAGAGGAAATGAAATTAGCTGAATAAATCCTAATTTGGAAGGGAGAAAAATGACAAATGGCAGAAAAATGCAAATGGCAGAGAGGCAAATAGTTTGCTCTAGTATCTTTGTCTTCTGATAATATTTTTGAACCAAGATTATATATGGACAGCTAAAGTTGAAAGATGAGTAATAAAAATATCTTGAATCCTACTGGAATATCATGTTATATATTATTTTTTTCCCATCCTTGGGGAAACAAACAAAAATTACATTAATTGCCACAAAAGAAAACCCAATCCCATTACATCTAAGTGAACGTATACAATCACATGCACTCCAAACTACTTCTTGTTCTCACCCATCCCTATGTAACTCTTGGTTTTTCAGGGGAGATCCCTTTTTTGGGTGATGAAGGAGACTGTGCCTACAATCCTTAGCAATGATTTCCTGACTGCTGAGCAGCATTAGTCATGCATCCTCCTCATGCCCATAAATGGAGGACAAGCCTACACTGATGCTATCAGACGAATTTAAACAAGGCCTGTTCTGAGAGAACCCTCACAGCCAGACTGACAACACTCCTGAAGCAAACCCATCTTCAATAGAAGTGTGTTTTGTTTCAACTTACACTTGGGCACACACTACTAATAGAGGCATAGAACAACTTGGGATCGCAGGGATCGCTGTGCATACCTAGGGCTTGGAGCAGGCCTTCCGTTGTGGTGTTAAGCTGGGGTGTTGCTCTGTAAGCCGAAGTTTAAGTCCATATACTCAGTGCTAAGAAGAGATTGTATTTCTTTTGATGAAGAGTTTCCTCTTCATCTTTGATTAGAGCAGGCATTCATTTATTTATTCATTTATTCGTTTATTTCCAAACATCCAGGTGCCTACCTGAGGGCCAGGTATTGGGCTTCAGGCTGAGCAACCCTTGTGAGAGAAAAATGCAAGCGATTTTCACCATTCAGCCAAGCCAATAAAATCAGCTAATTTTAAAGCAGCTTTACATTTTACTGTCTAACTCACTTATTTATGCCCTAGGAAGGCAGTATGATGTGGTAGAAGGAGCAATGGACCAATAGTTAGAAATCCTGGTGTAAGTTCCAGTTCTACCACAAAGAGACTGCGTGACTGTGGGGCAGTTTACTTAACCTCTCTGGGCCTCACTCTCCTTTTTTGAAAATATGAGTGGGTTGGACTTAAGATTCCTTCCATCTCTAAAATTCTTTTATTCTATACGGTAACACATTCCACAAAGTTTCTTTTGTGACCAGAATTAGTTGGTGAAGTCCCAGCTCAAGTTTCCCTTTTGCTCGCTTTTATTGTTAAACCAAATATGAACAAGAAGTAATAATATTTTGTCACAGCCAACAAATTGCCTTTCCACTGAATGACCTTTGGAGGTCAGGCCACCCATCACAACATCTAAATCCAAAGGCAATGGTATGATCAACTTGTGAGCTGGCGGGCTGCCATCCAAAAGTATGGAAATGGTTGTAGCCAGCCAAAATTCTTGGCTGGTACATTTTTAATAAACATAGAAAATAAGAACAGCATTTTCCACTTGGATTGCTTAATTTGGTGCCCATACCATCGGAACACTTGCTGGAAGGATAAAGATGATGTGATATATCACTTATTTAGCGCAGGATGGATTAACTTGCACAAATGAGAAGTAGGTTATGGAGTCATCTGTAAGGCATTTTTATCCCTGCCTCTTGTCTCTGGCAAGAGACAGCTTGAGTCATTATAGCAACATCTCCACCCCTTTTGGCCCTTTGTGAGAGTTTTCCCTGAACATAAGCTCTGCTGGATTTACTGTATTGCTATGAATGGACTAAGGCAAATTGGTGTGAATTCTTTGTGGTCGAATACCTCTTCTTAATATTTTTGCAAGATGGTTCAACATGTCTTATTATTACTTTTCCAAGAAAAAAACCTCCACAGCAAATGTTCTCTGGTTAATTTGGAGAATATCTGAGGTGCATGTGTTTTAATTACATAAATGACAGTGAGTACTTAGGACAATGAGCCTCATAGTTAGTAGCTCTGGTTTTTAATTGTGGTGATTGCACAAACTCATCCAGTTCTTGGATTCTGTATTTCTGTCTCTACTTGTAGTGTGGCAGCAAGGACATTTGATAGGCAAGACTGTTTTCTCTGCAGTGCTTGGAGATCCCTGAATAAAATACACTGTGATAGTTAAGATGTAATTAGACATGTGGGTGGAAATTAGTGTTCAAGCACACCATGTCTAAGCCGAGTCACTGTGCCTTTTTACTACCTGAGGCCACCCTGGTCCTGTGCCATAACTCCAGGTCACTGAGTATACAGGGCTGTTGGTTAGAGGCTGCAGGTTCCAAAAAGAAAATAAATAACTTGGTATTGAATCTGAAACCGGGAAGCTTTTTATAGTAAAAACTGGGCCACACAGTTCTACTATAGACAAGTCAGGCATTCACCAAGTATGACTATAACCTGTTCACTTTTCTTTTGGAAGTGTACATGATCTCAATTATCAAAACTATAATTTGAATTGTACCTCCATCTTATAAAACACCAAAACTTTCTACTAGATTTCCGGAGTCATGGCAGGTCCTCCATTTTGGATTAGATTCTCTAGTCATAAGGACCCAGTAGCAACAGACCTTTTCCTTCTCAGTCATCTTAAAAAACACACACTTCTCCGTGGGACTACAAAAGGCCTGCAATTTGTCCAGTTTAATTTTTCATTTGATTTTTGGATTTGCTTCTGGATACCTAAAAACTCCCACTACTATAAATCCTGGCTTTCTGGATGGACTCCCCCCTCTCCCAACGCCACTGACTTTAAATGAGTTTGCTTCGCCAGCATTTTACATTTTACCTTTTAAACGTGATTTCAAGACCAAACCAATGATGGAAAATTAATAACCATCATTACATCATTAGTATCCCCCCATGGTCCCCCTGCACCCCCATACCGAGTCTCCCACCCTTTATCCCCCTGTTGCGGCCGGAATTCCCTTTTTGCTAATGACGACAGAAAGCGGTTCCCGGAGCTGCGTTTCTCTTCCTGCACTCTTGCTTGCTGCTGCACACGATGCCTCGCGCGTCTCCCGGTGACTGCGTTTCCCCGCGAGTTGGCCGCGTTCTTTCGGGGATGAAGTCATCCCTATACATGGTGTGCCTATTAGCTCGTTACATTGGTACAGCACACTGGGATTCCTCGGAAAGAAAAGGAGCGACGCGAACAATGATGACCATATTTTACATGTATACGCCACCCCTCCCCCCAGCCTGGAGGAATCGCCGGGAGCCGCGCGCGGCGGGGGCGGGCCGTGGGTCTGGCCGGGATGCCCAACGACTGGCAGGTCCGGGTCGTGAGATACAGCAACAGGGCGAGCTGAGGACAAGCCCCGCGCGAGGGCACTCGGACGGGCAGATCCGGAGTCCCTCCGGCCCGGCCCAGTGCCCAGTCTCACGCATCCCGATCGCCGCCTCCCGGCTCCCCACGCCTGTGCCGGCAGGTCCCGCACCGGGAGGTCCTGGCGCCCCAGTCTGGGCACTCAGCGCTCCGGCGCGGGGGAGGCCCGGGAGCTCCCCCAGGGTCAGGGGAGCGGGAGTAGACTGGGGGCGGGGTGGGGGGGGGCGACGGCCAAGGACAACCGAAGAAGCTCCCGGGGGAGGAGGAGGAGGAGGAGAAGGAGGAGGAGGTGGGGGGCTGCGGCGGCCGCGGGACCCACACTCGGCGCCTCGGCCTCTCCGCCCCCTCCCCAGCTTTTCTTTCGCCCGCTCCTCTCCCGCTCCGGACCGGCGCCTCGGCTTTGTGCGAGGAGATGGTGTAGCCCCGCGGCCGCCTGGAGGAGGAGCTGGACACTTGTCTGCCGGCTCCGAGCTGCGTCCCCGCCCCTGGAGGAGAGACCCCCCCGCTCGGCTCGGCGCCTCCCGCGTCTCCCGGCTGCTGGGGAAGCCTCGGCGCGGCCGGCACCATGAGGTGAGGGGCGCGCGGGGCGGGGGCCGGCGGGCCATTGTGCCGCGGGAGCCGCGACCCCTCTCTCTCTTTCCCGGACCCCGCCTTCCCTCTCCCGGCCCGGCGCGTCTCCCAGGTCTCCGGTCTCTACTCCCCCCTCCCCCTTTGTCCCTCTCATTTCTCTTTCTTTCTTGTAATCCTCCCCAGCCCCTCTTATTGGGGAGGGGGGTCTCCTCTTTTCGACGTTCTCCCGTTTTTCCTCAAATGCTCCTTTTGCGCCCAGGATTTCCCTTCCTAAATTTAATGTGCTCCTGGCTCCCTCCCCCCCAGCCCTTGCGAGACAAACCTGGGAGATGGGGAGGGGTTCGAGAATCGAAGCGTGCTTGTTGCTGGGAAACAGGTATTTTTCCGTCTCTATGTAAAAATTTCGTTCACTTTTATAACAAAACTCTCGTGTTTAACTAAAAAAAAAAGAGATAAAAGTTTGAAAGACCTGAAATTTCTGTGGGGAATAAAGTGCTCTGGTAGTGGTAGGTGAAAGAGCTCAGAAAGGTGAAATTTCACGGTGGTGGGGGAAGGGAAAGAATTTATTACGTTAATATTGGGGGGGAACACAGTGAAAGACTGCGATAAGTAAGTTATTCGGGGTGTGTAAACGGGGGCGGGGGAGGGATTTGTTTGGAAAACCCTTTTCTCTTCTTCCTCTAGCAGCCTGTGTTGCATTGCAGCAGCTGCCTTTTTCCTTTTTCTCTCTAATCAATAAAACAGAAGCTAAATTATTTTTTCAGCCCCAAAGAATTGAATGTACCGTCGTAAAATGTTACTTTAATTGATACGATGAAACATATGGTGTGATATTTTTCGTGTTTGTTTCTCCAATTGTGTTAGAGAATAAACCATGATGTGGTGTGTCATTCATTGGAGATTTTTTTTCAGCCTTTCCTGTGTTTTGTGTCCATAACCTCCTCTTTTCGGATTGGTGCAAGACTTCGTGAGAAATGGGACTTGGTAGACTGAAGGCTGATCCATTCTGCGTTATCATCCTTAAGGCCTTCCTTTTAGGTTAAACAATTGTGGATAAAAGTAAATTACTCCATTTCTGTCTTCTGAAAGAGATAGTCTTACAGTTCGTTCGGATTTGAATCTCCTTTGTGTTAAAAGATTAATGGCTAACCGTTGCCAAGACCCTTATAATGTAATACAATGAGATTTGAATGATATAATCTACACATTCCTGCGTTTTGGCAAGAAAATGTCATGTCATTGGAATTCTTTCTCAATTTAAGTAGTTTCCACTTTAAACTTTTTTTTTCTATCAAGATTGAACACTACTTTCCCATTTTGGTTTTTATTTATATATATATTTGTGATATAGCTTTCAGCTTATTGTGAATTTGAATTGTTTATCTCTGATTCAAGGTATGGAGCTTTATTTGAAGGCTTTGAAATTTGTTTTTAATGCTGTGTCTCTAAGTGACCCCTTTTCCTTTGTGATTTCACAAGCAAGTTATTTTCAAGTATAGATAGTGCAAAAGGTTATTATGGCATACTTTGTAAAATATGGCTTGAAAAACTTGAGCCATGCCTTTGAACATAGTTTTTTTTTTTTTTTTTTAAATCAAGTTATTGATGTCCTTGAAAACTCTGGAACTATAATAAAGCATTGTTAATGTTAAGTCTTGTAATAAATTATATTGATTTCTGCTGTAACTTTTAATGCTTATAGGGGTCTTGGAGACCAAAATGTATCAAGTTTTTCCAAACTTTGGGTAAACTTTTCCCAACATTGAAAAATGTAAAACAATGAAAGTGAGTTATTTTAAAATGAAATGATTGTAAAGTTGTCAGATTCAAAGACTGTGAACCAAAAAGAAAAGAAAAAACTTAAAAATTAAAAAATATTTAGTGAAGTTTGATCACTATCATGTATAGTTATCAGCCTGTCAAAGGTAAATTATATCTTCACTTAAAAATTCCTTTTCTAATAAGAAGTAATTTGTAACTTTTAAGCTGTTTTCCTGCTCTGCTCTGTTCCTTATTAAATGTAGAAAGGGGGGAATCACACCGATGCTTCCCAGTAGCTTAAATATAGAACATGCTACACAGGTCTGAAAAGTTTGTTAAAGTAGTCTACAGTAATTCTTTGTAGGCTAATTGTGAATAATTTACAAGCAGAAAAGAGGATCAGCTTTTCACTTTGGAAGGCATTGGATTATTTGGCAGGTGGTTTGTGCGACTCGTATGTATTCACGTTTCCTTAGATACCTGTAAAAGCAGGATTGTCTGGTAAGGAAGTAAAAAGTGCTGGTTGCAAAAAGCTCTGGCATATTTTGGTGCGTAAGAAATGGCTTTTTAGGTTATATTCATATTGATTTGGTCTCGATGCTTTCCAGTATGCTAGGACATAAATAAATGTTACACTATTAAATTGAGTCTCTCTAATTATGAGGAGTTCTGATGCTTTAAAGGCCATCCAGAAATAGGAGTGTATGGGTAGGAAATTTCCACTTAAATAATAATAATTCTGAAGAGGGGCTGTGATAAACATGTTGCGGTTTAGGCATTTGTGAGAAGATCTCTCAGATGACTTCAGTTTCAGCAATGGCACTCACTGGTATAATGTAATAACTCCTTTGCAGAAGGGAATGGAATAATACCTTGTGCTTAGTTGCTCAGTCATGTCCAGCTTTCTGAGATCCTGTTCCTGAAGCAATCTTAGTGGCATTCTACACATTTAAAAAGCTGTGTATAGAATTACTTGTTAGTACTTTTTTAAAAAACAGATGGGAATTAAAATGAGAACATGTATTTCTTATACAAAACAGTGAGAGGGTTGAGACCTAAAAACTGATACTTTTGTTAGTGGAACACCCAACTTTTTGTTCTATTCTTATTTTTCATTTATGTAATGATTGAAAATTATAAGATGATTTGTGATAGAGGTAGGGGATTATGTGTAATATTAATATAGCATATACCTTTTAAATTATTACATTTTTGCTTAATTGGTTAGTTACTCAAATTTTTTTTTTTTTTGATAGAAAGAGAAGCTTGTCTGATATAAGATAGTTGCATGTAGCTTAGTGGCTAAGAAGATCTCAGAAGATTTCGGATTGACATTCTTAGATTTGTATTAAATAGTCCAGGATTCCACTCACTCTTCTGTGATGTTCTCATGGAAAAAAGGTGCAGTTGAGTTGTGAGGATTCAGCCAAGTCATTTATTAGCCGGATGACCTTGAGCTGGTCACTTTATTTCACTGATTTATATTTAAAAATATGTAAAAATAGGGATAGTTATTTACTGGGTATTAAGGATCAAATGATAATATTGACTAGAAGAGAGTGTGTATTGTGTACTTGTAAACCTTATACAGTTACATTACCCATCTTGTTTTAGGGCTTAGTTGTGTAAGGTAAACCTTTTGGGTAGTTTGCTTCACCTCATCTAGTTCAAAGATGGCAAGCAGGTTGTATTTTGCTTATCTACTCCCAGTTGATAGTGGCTGCCATATTGATAAAGGGCATAGCTGCATTTCTGGGTTTTGTGAAAAAGGGCCCTGATGTTTGATTGGGATGAGGGTTGCATAGAATGGCAATAAAGTGTTTCCTGGTATGCGCCTTATTTACCCATCTGTGATCTAGTCCAGTCTTCTTCTTTTATAGGTGAGGAAACCGATCTTTGTTTCCTTTCCTTGTGTATTTGTTTCCTTTCCTTGTGTATTTGTTTCCTTTCCTTGTGTATATTTAGTCTTTGAAGCAATTATTGTGACTTTGTTACCTTCATTTATAGTAATCTTAAATTTAATACACATTTTAAGAGTGTGGCATAGCTAAAGTTCAGAAGATCCAGGTTTTATATGCTGACTTGTTAATGGAGAAAACTGACAAATATGGAGATTATTCTATTTCAAGGATTGTTGTGTCAACTGTCAAGTGAGAGCCCGTGAAAGGATAATAATAGTAGTCTCTATTCCCATGGATCTTGCTTTATGCTTGTAGATTTTGGTTGTGTGGCTTTCTTACAGAGGTTAATTTTAGGGGCAGGAGCCAAATTTTCATTTTTTAGAGTGTCAGTGCTTTGTATTTAGGCATTGTTTTGCCTTGTAGGTATTAAGGAATACATCATGAATAAGAATGTGGATTAATGAAGAAAAGGTACTGGTTTTTACAGCAGTCAAGGTTTTCAGTTAGTCCAGTTGGAATAACTGAAATAAGTGGCGGGCCCATTTGGCTGGTATAGAAGAAATTACTTACTCAACTGACAGCTTTGGTTACTTATCTTTTTGGTTACACAGCTTAAATCTGAGGTGACTGTAAAACTTGTGAAACTCCTAGTCTTTTTTTTTTTTTAACGTCCCCTTCCTCTTGAGCCTCCCTTGCCATCCCACCCATCTAGGTTGTTAACACAGCTCTGATTGAGTTTCCAGAGTTATAGGGCAAATCCCCATTGGCTGTCTACTTTACACATGGTAATAGATGTTTCCATGTTACTCTCTCCCTGCATCCCACCCTTTCCACCCCCACCCTTGTGCATAAATCTGTTCTCTTTGTCTAACACCCAGTCTTTATCATAAGTGTAAGAAGGGTTTGGGAAAATGTGATTTCAATTTTTATGCAGTTGTTGGGGAGGAAAAAGACTTCAGTTCTTCCCATGCCCTTCTCTCCTTTCTCTGAATTGATGGATGAAACTGAGTGGAAGTAAAAGTCAGAGAGAGAATCTGAGCTGAGGCTGTTACTTCAGTGAATGCTTCCTCAAACAAAGGCTTATGAAGTTTTCTGGAATAGAAATCAGGAAGAGAATTCCTTGTCAGACCTGAGAAGTAGTCCTTGATTTATCTACATCCCAGCTCTCTTCTGTGTTACTATGTCCTTTGCATATTTTTTTGCCATTGTGTTTATTTCACTGTTTTATCATGATGTGGATTTTTCTGTCCCTCTTCGCTGTAAACTCCTTGAGAGTAGGACAGCGCTTTTATATGTAGGGTTCCAGCAAAATATTTGGCATAAGGTGGGTGCTTATATAAATGCTTGACTTGGGGGTGTCCTTTTCCAGAGTCTATTCACTAACAATAAGCACCCCCATTTCTGGAGCACCCATAATGTTTTGTAGCCATACTGGCTATTCTAGGATGTAAAATAGTACTCAGCATGTAATAAATGTTAATAAAGTTATTTAATTCAAATAAAACAAGCATCCTGAACACGAGAATAGGTAGAGAGCTTGTTTCTTACTCAAACACAAAGCTCTGCTGCTGCTAAGTCGCTTCAGTTGTGCGACCCTATCGTCGTGCGACCCCATAGACGGCAGCCCACCAGGCTCCCCTGTCCCTGGGATTCTCCAGGCAACAACACTGGAGTGGGTTGCCATTTCCTTCTCCAATGCAGAAAAGTGAAAGTG